AGCCGCGCCGCGATGCTCCGGAGGTTCCCCTCTATCCCTGGGCTGTGATTTGGCGTTTGTTGCGGTTAATGCCGGTTCCCTGACACCGACTGGCGCGTTATACACCCCTAGCGCGAGGCTCTGTAGGCCACAGGAAAGTGGGTCCGGGAGACGCTTCTAGTCAGATACGCGAGCAAAAAGCCCATGAGTTGAAGAGTGTTAGTGCTTGATTTTTTTTTTCGTCCTACCTGTGGCCCTGAATCTCCAAAGGTGTACATGACACAATAATTTTCTAGCGTTAAACCTCAGGAGTTTGCAACCTAAATTACTATTCCTGCAATCTGATCAGTTTTGGTGGATTTTTACACCATTGTAAACCCCCTTTGAAGTCATTGAACCAGCTCAGGTGAGATTTCATGGTTAGGTAGGGAATTGCTTCCATGTCTTTTTGCATTTAGCCTTTGGAGACCATAGTAATGCTTGGTCTGTTTAAAACAGAGAGTTAATTTGGATAAAAGGTATTCTCTGTAGAATGTATCAGAGGGATAGCCGTGTTAGTCTGAACTCCTCGTCATCTCTGTAGAATGGCACTGATGTTGTCACCGTTATCTATAAATGTTCTCACGTTTAAAAATTATTCTCATTAAGCATCAATATCTGAACTCCCTAAAGCAACCCTTTTGCAAGGAATAGAAATACGAGGAAGTAAGAAATTCTTTTAGCATAAAAGGATTAATAATGTAAGTTAAAACACATTGAATGTGCCTAATGAAATTGAGATAACGTGCCACTAATAACGTGATTATCCAGAAGTCCTCTGCCTTGCAATATCAATTCTTAAAAAGATCGCTCACATTTTTTCTCGGGAATCCTGACTAGACTTTTTAATACAACTTTTATTGCAGGCTTATGCCAAATTTTCTGGTGCTCCAGTAAAACTGAATGCTATTGATAACTCATGGAGAGCCCCAAAAGGTACTTGTTTATTTGTTTTTGTTATTTATTTTATTTTGGTGGTTTTGCTTGTACACACTAGCCATTTTACAAATGAAGGCCTGACTTTGTAAACACTTATGTAAAACTTTGGCATGTACATAAATGAATTTATCTATTTGACTTCTCGCTCTCATAGACCTAGTGAGGCAAGCCAGTCCTCGCTTACAGATAGCCCCTGAACCGGAGGCATATACTTACTACCAACTTCACTGCCAACTTCACACACCAAAACAAAAACAGTAATCCAAGAACCCGTCCCTGCAACAAATCCCATTGCCGGCTCTGTCCGCACATTTATCCTTGTCACAGCATCATAGGGCCTAACCACATCATCTATATACCATCAAAGGCTCATTCATGTGTACATCTACTAATGTAATATATGCCATCATGTGCCAACAGTGCCCCTCTGCCATGTACGTCAGACAAACTGGACTGTCTGTAGGCAAAAGAATAAATGGACATAAATCCTATATTAAGAATGGTAATATCCAAAACCCAGTGGCGGAGCATTTTAACCTCCCTGGTAACACAGTTTCAGACTTGCAGTTGTCCATTCTCAGACATAAAAATGTCAAAAACAGCCTGCAGAGGGAGACCGCTGAGCTGGAATTCATATGCAAATTTGACACCTTGAACCAAGATCTAAATAAACACACAGAGTGATTCTCACATTACAATAGGTAATTTCCCATTCATGTATTCTCACCTTTTCACCACTGTTGGAGATGAGCCACATCCATCAAGAACATAAGAACAGCCATACTGGGTCAGACCAAAGGTCCATCTATCCTGTCTGCTAACAGTGGCCAATACCAAATGCCCCAGAGGGAGGGATCACAATACACCCACCTCCAGAGAAACAGAGGCTAGGGATACCATTTCTACCCATCCTGGCTAATAGCCATTGATGGACCAACCTCCATGAATCTATCTAGTTCTTTTTTGAACCCTGTTAAAGTTCTGGCCTTCACCACATCCTCTGGCAAGGAGTTCCAAGGGTTGACTGTGTGCTGAGTGAAGAAAAACTTCCTTGTCTTTTTTTTTAAACCTGTTGCTTGTTGATTTCATTTAGTGACCCCTAGTTCTTATAGTGGGGGAATAAGTAAATACATTTTCCTTATTCACTTTTTCCACACCAGTTGTGATTTTATATACCTCTATCATATCCCACCTTAGTCTCCTCTTTTCTAAGCTGAAAAGTCAAAGTCTTTTTAATCTCTCTTCATATGGGACCTGTTCCAAACCCCTAATAATTTTGTTGACCTTTTCTGAACCTTTTGCAATGCCAATATATCTTTTTTGAGATGAGGCAACCACATCTGTACTCAGTATTCAAGATGTGGGCGTACCATGATTTTATATAGAGGTAATAAGATATTTTCTGTCTTACTCTCTATCCCTTTCTAATGACTCCTAACATTATATTTGCTTTTTTGAGTGCTACTGCACGCTGAGGCTTTGTCTACACTGCAGGATTTTTGTTCAAGAAGCCTTTTGCGGAAGAGATCTTCAGCAAAAACTTCTTGTGCAAAAACGCGTCCAGACCTCAAAGCACATCGCAAAAGCAATGTGCTCTTGCGCAAGAAAGTGTCCACACTTCATGGACACTCTTGTGCAAGAAAGCACTGATTGCTATTCACAGAATGTCGATAGGGGTGCTTTTGCACCCTGGTGGAGCATCCACACCTGCCTTTTTGCGTGAGAGCTGTAGCGCAAAAAGAAGTTATTCCTTGTGGGGAGAGAAGTATCTCTACTGGCAAAAGCCCTGTGTTCTGCTGATTTACTTGCACAAAAATGTGCGTGAGGTGTGGACGCTCTGCCGGTTTTTGCACAAAAACAGTTTGTTTTGCACAAAAACCTTGTAGCGTAGATGTAGCCTGAGTGAATATTTTCAGAGAACTATCCACAATGACTGCAAGATCTCTCTCTTGAGTAGTTGTAGCCAAATTAGTCCCCATCATATTGTGTATATATAGTTGGGATTACTTTTTCCAGTGTGCATTACGTTACATTTATCAACATTACATTTCATTTGCCATTTTTGTTGCCAAATCACTGTTTGATGAGATTTTTTTTTTTTGAAGATCTTCACAGTCTCCTTTGGTTTTAACTGATTTAATTAGCACTGATGTCACATTCTCATCTCTGTATCCTTTTTTTTTTTTTTTCCTTTTTTCTCTTCAGCATCTGAGGAAGTGAGGTGTAGCTAACAAAAGCTTTTGCTCTAATATGGTGATGTCCAGCCGGTTCTGAAGCTATTACGAACTAGCCAAACTCAAGTGGCCAAATAGCCACATGTGGAGACCCTGGCTTTAATCCCTAATAAGTTTGTTAGTCTTTAAAGTGCTACCAGACTTCTTGTTTTAGTGGTAATAGAGTTCTCTGATTTGTAAAACTAAGCACATTCATAAGTATTTGTAGAATTAGTTCCCATTTCAAATTAGATTGCATGTATCTGGTGTAAAATGTGTTGACAGTATAATTCTCACTCCTTAGGAGATGTGCCAGTGTTGATATCAGAAAACACTATAATTGCCCAGCCAGCAAAGATACTAAACTTCTTAAGAAAGCAGGTAGGTCTCAACTTGCTAAAGAGAAGTGTTGGATTTAGTTCAGTTTAATTTGCAACTTGTTTTTTCTCTAACTTGGAGTGTTTTTACTTGTCCCAATATATAGAATCATAGAATCATAGAATAATAGGACTGGAAGGGACCTCGAGAGGTCATCGAGTCCAGCCCCCCGCCCTCAAGGCAGGACCAAGCTCCGTCTACACCATCCCTGACAGATGTCTATCTAACCTGTTCTTAAATATCTCCAGAGAGGGAGATTCCACCACCTCCCTTGGCAATATATTCCAATATTTGACCACCCTGACAGTTAGGAACTTTTTCCTAATGTCCAATCTAAACCTCCCCTGCTGCACTTTTAAGCCCATTACTCCTTGTCCTGTCCTCAGTAACCAAGAGGAACAAATTTTCTCCTTCCTCCTTGTGACACCCTTTTAGATATTTGAAAACCGCTATCATGTCCCCCCTTAATCTTCTTTTTTCCAAACTAAACAAGCCCAGTTCATGAAGCCTGGCTTCATAGGTCATGTTCTCTAGACCTTTAATCATTCTTGTCACTCTTCTCTGTACCCTTTCCAATTTCTCCACATCTTTCTTGAAATGTGGCGCCCAGAACTGGACACAGTACTCCAGCTGAGGCCTAACTAGTGCAGAGTAGAGTGGCAGAATGACTTCACAAGTTTTACTTACAACACACCTGTTGCTACAACCTAGAATCATATTTGCTTTTTTTGCAACAGCATCACACTGTTGACTCAAATATCCATATAAATGGTTTCTAATAATACAAAGCCGTATTCTGCAACTCTTACTTCCGTAGAGTGTTCACTGCATTGTGACTACTCATAAGTAACTGTCACTCAAGTATAAGTAAAGCTTGCAAACTGTGGACTGCTATTAGCTGTTGGACTAACCATCACCCTTCTAAGGTTTACAAATAAAACCAACAAAAGAAAGCCTCATTGAGCAGGCTCACCCAGCCTGAGTTGTGTATTAAGTGTTCAAATAGCTAATTTTTCTAATGTTGCTGGTTTTTATAGATCACATTTTTACATAAGGTTTTTACATAACTGGATTACTCTAACATAATTTTTTATTTTTACTTTAAATGCTCTATTTTTAATTTGCTGTGGGGAGGGGTGTTTGAATTGCATAATAAAGAAAATATGGAACCCTTTTTAGTGATGCACATTTTGGCAATGTGCAGTTTTACTTTAGATGAGCCATATCTAGAACGTTAAGTTATCTGCAAAGGGTGGGAATTGGTTTGTACTGTTTTTCATAAATAGGAAGAGGGCCTAAAATGGTATTGTCTCTTTTTTCCTCCCTACTTTCTTTTTACATTAGAAATTCAGTTCCTGTCTAGCCTGGAAGAGTCTCTGATGACTGGAAAGTTAGTGATATTTTGACATCAGAAGAATTAAGAGAGTGAAAGCTGAGAATTGGAGCTGGGAAAGGATTTTTAATCACACTGTTAAATAGGTGTTAACCCAAGAATTTTAAACTTCAGTGGCTAAGGAATCTTTTGGAGAAAAGACATCGATTAGAGATTCAATCTCTCTCTTTCCAATCAAGGTGTGAGAATAACAGTATGCATCCTCCAAGATATCCAAAAGGCCTTCCACCAAAACTGGAAAGAATATTTCCAATATGGCTAAACTTGTCTCTTTTTGGCAAAATGAACTTCCAAATCCTCTTTATACATGGTAAAGACTGAAAATGTGGGCACAAGGCCCATTTAAAAAAAAACCCTCTTGCAAGTTACCTTTTTAAAAGGAACAGATATGGATCTGCATAAATTTGTGTGCATCTCTCAGCCTTATATTCTTTGGGAAGTTTCTCACTTCTCTAGAAACCAGGAACGGTACACAATAGTTTATAAATATATCTTCTCTTTTCTTTCCTTGGGCAGTGAACTACAAGGCTAACCAAAAGGGTCAAAATCTGATCTCAGCTGACGTAAATGGAGTTGATTTTCTTTTGACTTCAGTGGAATTACTCAAATTTATGCCGCTGTAATTGAGTCTAGAATTTGGTTTATGATACCATCAGACATTATTTACATTTTTAAAACTGTAACTTTGAAAAATAACAAGAATGTCTCTCTGAACATCACCATATGGGCATGAGATTTTACAGAATATTGAGAGAACTATCTGTTGGAGGAGTTCAGTACAGTATTGGGACCTGTGTAATACTTTTTGCATCTGTGTTACTCTGCTGCTTCTTGGAAAGCAGATAAAGCAGACTATTTTTCTGGGCCTTCCCAGTGGAGGCTGAAGATACTGGGAGCAGTAGAGAGCTTGGGCAGAGAGAGGTTTAGCACAGTTGGTGTGGGTGATTAAAGGAAGGAAATTTCAGTAGATACACATTTTCTGTTCTTAAATTGCCATTCACATGATCTGCTTAATAACTGTTTAGCTCTACAGAAGTCACCAATTGTGAGACTTTTTTTCTTTGTGAGATGTTTCATGTGACACTATGTGTGTGTTGCATATGTATTTTTTAACTTGACAGAAGTACAATGCTGATTATGAACTATCTGCAAAACAAGGAGCTGATACACTGGCATACATTGCACTACTTGAAGAAAAACTGCTTCCAGCTGTGGTAAGCATCTACAAAAATAAAATGGTGGTCAAGATAAAAAGTGATTAATAATTAAGGGCATTCTGTCCCTATCTATCCTGTAAATTTGGGGTGTGTTAATGCTGTGCTGTTATGTCTCAGATCTCTGACACCAATAGCTTGCCCATAAGCACAAAATCTCAACATGGCTTCCAACAGCCTAGATATTCACTGCAGGGTGACACTAACAGCCTTTCCTGTCCCAAGTGTCCCCAAATCTTTTCTCTTCAATTTTTAGTGTGTCATACTCTTCCCTTCTAGTTCATCTTCCCTGAAGGCATGAACTGCACAGGCAGTGACAGAACCCGTAACTGATGCGAATGATGCCCCAAAACGTGTCAACTAGAAATTTCAGATTTGTTTTATTTAGTATAGTTGGCCCTCCCTAACTGATACCAAACAAGGGAGTTTGCAGGACTAGGGGAGGTCAATGCCAGTCTCTCTGCAGCTGGCTCTCTCCAGGGATGCCAGTCTCCCAGCTGGGCTTTCTTCCTGGCCAATGCCCCAGCTCCCAGGTTCCCCTCCTGGCTGCCAACCCCACAGTCAGCCCTGACCACTGGGTTCCCCTCCTGGTGGCTAGCCCTTCTGCTGCTGGCCTGGCTGCCTCTCCTCCTGCTCCCTCTCCCACCTCCCCCCAGCCCAGCTACACACCTGACCCCAGCCAGGCTCCCAGCTGTTGGCCGCCAGCACCTCTGTTGCTAGGCTCTCACCCAGCCTCTAGTCTCAGCAGCAGCAGCTCTCTAGTCATACATGGTCCTACCGGACCATGGATGTTGCCAAACCAGAAAGGTTCAGCTGTACTCCTGAATGAGATCTGGCATCCTTGACTATTTTTTATATTATCAGGGGCATAACTGTGGAGGTCTTTATAAACAATTTGGAACTGCTCAAAATGTGCTGGTATAAAGATGATTTAGCAGAGTCTGCAAACGCCCACAGCTGAACTGCCCAAGTTTAAGAGAAATTTCACATGTGCCACTAAAGTGTTTGATTTAGTCTTGTTTTGTAATGTATTCTATGACCTAGATCTATGTGTTCCCTGTACATCACATCTAGAATTGTAATAAAATATCTATCAAAAAGTAAAATTACCATCCTTAGCAAATATTCATGGGTTTTAAATACTTTTTTCTAAAGATATCCAGGGAAATTTTCAGATGAAAACTACTTTAAGATACCTCTAAAGAGGTATCAGTTGTAAATAAGTACAAGACTCCCAATATTTAAATACAAGTGTAAAAGCCTATGCATTCAAACAACTTTAACTCTTACTCTATTAATATCCACCAGTAGTCTCCATGCCTCAATCACATCTAATAGAGGCCATAAGCCTTCACCAACATATTGTGAATTACAGTAAAGCTATAGAAATCTGTAGCTGCTAAGATTACCTTTATGTTGGAGTTATGAGACTTTGGCCCCAGTTTGTATAGGAAAAAGCCATTACCTACCATTCTACAGGTCTACAAAATCTCACAAACAGATGCTGACACTAGCCTAACCTATTAACGGTCGCCAGAGAGAAATATACACCAATATCTCCCTCATCCCACTTAGTTCTGTAAGGGTACAGCTACATGGCAGGGGCTAAAGTCAAATTAAGCTATGCAACTTAAGCTACGCAATTGACGTAGGTGAAGTCGAAATAGCTTAATTTGGCTTTTGGTGCTGTCTACGCAGCATTTGAATTCCCTCACTCCTCGTGAAATGAGGGTACAGGAGTCAGAGTAAGAAGTCCTCCAGCTCGACATTATTTTGAAATAAAGGCTTGCTGTGTAGTTGTACCCTGTCTAAAACCCATCCCCTCATTTTGTTCCTCATTGAAGGATACAGTGTATAATCTTTTCCCTTAATGAATTTGGTATGTGGTTTTGGGTCGACTTCACCCCCCCATAGGTGCCCGAGGCTTTGAATTAAAAACACAGCAAAGCGCTTGTGGTTCCCAGTCCCACCACTACCACATTGCCTGGCAGCTGCCTTGGGATGCTTCAGCTTTTTAAAGTGCTCACAGCTCTAGCCCCTGCCGGGGTAGCACTGCATTTAAATAGTCACAGTAATCCCAGGCAGCTCCCAGGCAACACGGTAGCAGCAGTTCCGGGAGCTGCGAGCCCTTTAAATAGCAGCCATTTAAAGGGCTTGCAGCTTATGGGCCCCCCTGCTATTGGAAAAGCACCGTGAGCAGGAGCCGGGAGCCATTTAAATATGATGCTGATATAAATAGAAAGTGGCCAGATCAAAGTGTTAGGTGGGCTGGATATATCCCCTGGGACACATCTTGCTGAGCCCTGATATGTAGGATCTGTTGTGGATTTTTTTTAGAATTTCATTTTGAATGTTATGCATTAACTACAATGTCCTAATGCCTTAATTTAATAAGAGATAGGTAGAGCCTTAACTGTATCTTAATGCTTAGTGTGTGGGAATATAATTTAATATTGAGCCTGTTTTGTTTTTTCAATACTATAATTTCTGTTGTTTGTGTGACAGAGAACCTTACAGAGTCTTTATAAAGAAAAGCATAATGTTTTCATTAGCATTCTTATTGACTTTACTGTGTTGATACAGCTGCACACATTCTGGATTGAGGCTGAAAATTACTGTAGTGTGACAAAGCCATGGTTTGCTTCAAGGATACCATTTCCATTGAGTTTGTATCTACCTGGGAAGATGTCCAGGGAAGCACTTAACAGGATCCTGCTGACGAGGGGAGAGCCTCCACTATACAGTCTGAGTGAAGTGGAAGCACTGGTATGCTTTATTTTATGAGTAACTTAAGTACAAATTGGTACTGACAAGGGGAAGAATTGAAATGGAGACTTATGTGTTGTATAATGACAAATGTTGTTCTGCATACTGGTCTTCCCACTTTTTATTGCTCTTAGGTCACTTTTTCTCTTGTTAGATCTACCGAGATGCCAAAGAGTGCCTAAATCTTCTGTCAAACAGATTGGGAACATCTCAGTTTTTCTTTGGAAATACGTGAGTGTAAAACTTTTTATGATTGATAGTCAGCTCACACAGTGCATGTTCCAACATTATTGATTATTTGCAGGAATGTGTCATAATACTTCATAATAGGTTAATGTTTAACATTTATCTTTGAAGATAAGATCCAAAGAGAGATGTGTATGTTATAAACAAACATAGTACTTTACTGTCAAAGTCTGTTCAGTCAGAGGTCCTCGTGAGCCAAACATGATGATTTTTCACTAGACCCTGAAGTGCTTTCCCCACTTATTTATATGTCTTTTACTGATAATGGCCATTGCTTGAACAAAATAATTAAAACCAGGCCCATCTACTTTTACTGTAGCAAACTCCCAGTTTTGCCCACATTGTGCCACCTCAGTCCCAGGTATGGAAGTCCCTACATGTAGTAGACCCACAGAAGGTCTACTGTGCAGAGGACAATCCAATGTGTACTAGCGTGGTAGCTCTTTCCAAAGTAGTTCTGGGGGATTTGGAAGCAGGAAGGGAGGAGCAGAGATACAATGGTTATCTTAATCCAGTGGTCTCCAACCTTTTTACAGCCAAGATCACTTTTTAAATGACAGAACAAGCCAAGATCTACCGCCCCACCCCTTTCTTGAAGCCCCGCCCTCTCTATTCTCCTCCTCTCCATCACTTGCTATCTCCAACCCTTACACTACTGCTTTTTTCCCCAATTCTTTTGTAGGAAGAAGTTTTTCCAACATTTGACCTATTTAGCGGTATGTTGCGTCTACTGTTTCACCTTTTCTTCCAGGCCAGTAATCCATCCTGTTAAGGAAATGAGATGGCTTGGCAACATTTGTTCTTGGTAAATCCATGCTGGCTATTCCTTAAGAACCCAAAGGATAATAGCATTTTGAGTTGACTGTTAAAAATTAGGTTTAAACCTGAGCATTAAAAAAGTCAGCCTAATTTTGCTCAGATGTGTAGGCTCTGGGGTGTTGGAATGAGGGATTTGGGTGTGGGAAGGGGTGAGAGGTGAAAGCTCTGGGAGGAAATCTGGATGCAGGAGAAGGTGGATAAAGGGACACTGGCTCGGGAAGGGGACTCCAGGCCGGGCACTGTTGGGGTCAAATGTAGGGTTAGGGTACTAAGCAAGCCACAGATGTCTGGATGTGAGGGTTCAGGAATTTGGGGTGGGGTATATGAGGGGCTCAGGGCAGGGGGTTCCAGTATATGATAGGCTCAGATCTAGGGTCTGGGGGAAAGGGGAGTGCAGGAGTGTTATGATGGGGGTTGGCCCTAACTGGGGGTTGGCCCTAACTGGGGGTTGGCCCTAACTGGGGGTTTGTTGGCCAGGCTTCATTTTCAAATAAAATACTATGTCAAACACAAAAAGTTTCTGCATTGTCTGTATTTCTGAGAAGGGCAGGGAACCTGTTTTGAGTCTGGGGTCACTGACACACGGAAAAGGTCAGTTGGGGCCACACAAGGGAGATGCAAAAAAAACAAACCTCCTCCCAACC